ACCTATCCTAGTCCTACAGGAAATCAGTCCAACTATTACAGTGTCACCTAGCCTAGTCCTACAGAAAATATATCCAACTGTTACAGTGTAACCTAGCCTTGTTCTACAGGAAATCAGTCCAACTATTACAGTGTAACCTAGCCTAGTCCTACAGGAAATCAATCTAACTGTTACAGTGTAACCTGGCCTAATCCTAGTTACAGTGTAACCTAGCCTAGTACTACAGGAAATCAGTTCAACTATTACAGTGTCCCCTAGCCTAGTCCTACAGGAAATATATCCAACTGTTACAGTGACCTATCCTAGTCCTACAGGAAATCAATCTAACTGTTACAGTGTAACCTGGCCTACTCCTACAGGAAATCAATCCAACTGTTACAGTGTAACCTAGCCTAGTCCTACAGGAAATCAATCTAACTGTTACAGTGTAACCTGGCCTAATCCTACAGGAAGTAAATCTAACTGTTACAGTTCTCTAACAAAGGGAGACAACACACATTAATCATGCAAATTGATTTCATGTCACTTACAACGTTACCTCCTTCTGTTATCAGGTATTTGGAGATTACTGATATCTCAAATGACCTGCATTAATGATTTATAGATATTGATATACAATATTGAAACACTGGGTCAAATGAATCCCTGTCACCGGGGAAGCCTAACATAAGCCTAAATGATCGCCTTTTGGTAGGTTCAATTTTGATCTCTTTTATGTTTAAAAGTGTGATACATAAAGTATAATTTGGTACACTTTAAGATTTGATAAAGGTTCAAAGTGTAACATTGAACATGTCACACGTTTAAATACTTTCAAAAGTATAACATCGTACACTTTAAACATTTAAGTTATAGAAAATTCTCATAAAAAAGTGTACCGTATTATGTTTTTTCAATATAAATGCAAATTTAATCAAAAGTGGATAATCTTTTACCGCGGTACACTTTTGAACATCATGCTTAGTATGTAATAAGGGAGTGACTGCTATTGCCTGTCGTATGTTCTAGTATCTATCTATTATTGATCCTTATAACACTATTACCAACACGTACATGCGTATATACTTAGTTTCTTAATACTGTGTCATGAAGCTTTCCGGTTAACCATGCGTAAACCCACGTAGACCTAACAGCGATATATACTTTCTTTGGTACATGTAGCGTGAATCTGCCATCATACAAGAATACGAGTCTAATAAAACGCCATTTAACTGGGCTATGGCATGCAGAAACATTCCTCTACAAGAATGGCGGCAAAAAGTTCCGAATGGAAACATTGAAGTTACTGCGCACCAGGCAGGGACACGACAAGGTGACAACAACACGTCTAGTATATTGTATTATTCAATCGGAGACCCGCTTGGGCTTCTCTGTCATTCTTTAGAGGGGGAGGGACACTCTTTCTGTTTCTGGCGGAAAGGCCAGTGGAGTGGGTTTTCTATTACAATATTAGTATTACGGGAACATAGTCTCAAAACCTTATTTTTCCGAAACAACAGTTCGAAATCATTAAGTGTGTCATCAGCAAAAGAAAAAAAAACCATTGCAGTTGTACACACTTATTACATTTATGGGATTAAAATATGCTTAGATCGCTTATACAACTGTCAGCGGCATTTGATATTGCCGGCAATTCTACTTTAATAGCAAAAGGACGGGGCACATCCAATTAGCATATGAGATTCTATCACGTGGTCAATATGATACACACCACTGTGGCTATATAAAGTGATAGAGGACCAATTGCTTATTTATAAAACACTTTTATCAGCTCACATCAATCATTCTTGTTGGCTCGGATAGAAGATTAATAGAAGAGTACAGGGAGTCCTGATGTGGCAGGAAACCGGAGTACCCAGAGAAAACCCGCGGCCAGGTGACTCCCTACCTTTTTACGTAGGATAAGGGAATCGAATCTCAGGTATCATGATGAAATAGGAATGCGCTGTCCACTATCTAATAACTCAGCCACCCTGTATGTTACCCTTTGGCATACTGTATTACCGAATTTAAAAGACACCTCCCCATGAGTGTGCTCCAGATCAAATATCATTTCTATAAGAGCGGTAGAGGGTAAGTTGAGTTAGCAAGACACCAGGATCAATAAATATTGACACTTACATAAATATACTTCTGTATGGAATGGTGTGATTTATTGTCTTTATTATTTGGGTGCCCAAGGTTTTGTAAGTATCGTAAATCATAAGGATAAAAGTAAACTGAAAGTCTTTTACTTTACAGCTACCCCACACGGTATTCATTAAAGTTGACTTCTCAGGTTTAACATAGCTTTATGACACCTAGTGGAAAAATACCACATCCGTGCATTTATTCAGAAAAAAAGTATATCCCACTATGCCATTTCGTGCATTCTGTTTCGAACCTATATTCATATCGTTTCTCTGCCAACCCCGATCTATTAGAGTTCAGACGATGGCTTGTGGTATTAAACCTTTTCGAGTATACAACAATGAAACAGACAAAAACCACACGGATATTGTAGCGTTGAAGTCATATATACATATTTTGTATTGAAGTGTCATAAATCAGGTTACACATGTAAACTATTTTGTATTGAAGTGTTATACATCAAGTTACACATGTAAACTATTTTGTATTGAAGTGTCATAAATCAGGTTACACATGTAAACTATTTTGTATTGAAGTGGCATAAATCAGGTTACACATGTAAACTATTGTGTATTGAAATGTCATACATCAGGTTACACATGTAAACTATTTTGTATTGAAGTGTTATACATCAAGTTACACATGTAAACTATTTTGTATTGAAGTGTTATACATCAAGTTACACATGTAAACTATTTTGTATTGAAGTGTTATACATCAAGTTACACATGTAAACTATTTTGTATTGAAGTGTTATACATCAAGTTACACATGTAAACTATTTTGTATTGAAGTGGCATAAATCAGGTTACACATGTAAACTATTGTGTATTGCAGTGTCATAAATCAGGTTACACATGTAAACTATTTTGTATTGAAGTGGCATAAATCAGGTTACACATGTAAACTATTGTTTATTGAAGTGTCATACATCAGGTTACACATGTAACCTATTGTGTATTGAAGTGTCATAAATCAGGTTACACATGTAAACTATTGTGTATTGCAGTGTCATAAATCAGGTTACACATGTAAACTATTTTGTATTGAAGTGTTATACATCAAGTTACACATGTAAACTATTTTGTATTGAAGTGGCATAAATCAGGTTACACATGTAAACTATTGTGTATTGCAGTGTCATAAATCAGGTTACACATGTAAACTATTGTGTATTGAAATGTCATACATCAGGTTACACATGTAAACTATTTTGTATTGAAGTGGCATAAATCAGGTTACACATGTAAACTATTGTTTATTGAAGTGTCATACATCAGGTTACACATGTAATCTATTTTGTATTGAAGTGTCATACATCAAGTTACACATGTAAACTATTTTGTATTGAAGTGTCATACATCAGTTATACATGTAAACTATTGTGTATTGAAATGTCATACATCAGGTTACACATGTAAACTATTTTGTATTGAAGTGGCATAAATCAGGTTACACATGTAAACTATTGTGTATTGTAGTGTCATACATCAGGTTACACCTGTAAACTATTGTGTATTGAAGTGTCATAAATCAGGTTACACATCTAAACTATTGTGTATTGAAGTGTCATACATCAGGGTACACATGTAAACTATTGTGTATTGAAGTGTCATACAACAGGTTACACATGTAAACTATTTTGTATTGAAGTGTCATACATCAGGTTACACATGTAAACTATTGTGTATTGAAGTGCCATACATCAGGTTACACATGTAAACTATTCTGTGGTTTTATGCAGGTGCCAGTTGACATTGTTAAGATCGACGTTGGAGCAGCGGAATGGCACATCCTTCCCAACATCATTGATACTGGGTCCCTTCTGGGAGTCAGGCAGCTTCTGATTGAGGTTCATGTGGCCATACAAGGGGCTGACATCCACTTCCGGGAGAAGCTGGTGATCCTTCGGGAGTTGTATGACATGGGTTTCCGCTTATTTTGGTCTCACCCTAGCGACAACCCTGGCAACACTTTCAGGTGTTCGGTCAATAAGAAACATACAACATGTTGTTATGAGTTGCATTTTATAAATAAAAAATATGTTGAATAAATTCCTTAAAATATTATTTGCTTATTTCTAAGGGGATGCTTTCGATTTCGTCCTTTGGGGAATCTGGGAGGACTGTTAACGTCTTATTGTTATTGACACTTAATTAGAGCTTGTCACTAAATCCATGGGATACATTTGGGGAAAGATTAAATCTATAATCTGCTGAACTAATTTTTGTAAATCGGAAATTTAATCCTCCAAAGGTATAGGTGCTTTACCAGTGCATATGTTTTTAATGGTACAAACAGAAATACTCAGTTAACGTGTACAAATGATGAAATAGTTATGAACATAATGTAGAACAGGAATCAAAATAGACAACAACACATAGGAAAGGACCGGCAAAATAAAAGGGAAGTCAACAAAATCCCATCACAAATTCAGTTACTCCAGGACTTCCTGTGTCACCAGACGTCTCCCAACAAATCAAGGAAATGAGACCAGTTGTACTCTAACCACCGTGAATTATTTGTTAATCGTGAAAGACTTCACTCCTTTACCGGGAAAGAATATCATTATGGCGACAGATATAATACCTTTCTTGATCAATAAGATGCAACTAACCAGAAAACACTTAAAACAAACATACAAACTACATAACGGGATGTTGATATGTTGCTACCGAGGAAAGAAAAGTCAACATCGGGATATCAAAGTCATCACTTTTGTTTTATTGTTAGGTAGTAGGATGGTCATTATGGATATTATCCATTTCTGACCCATTTTACTATGTCATAACTATGGTATTACACGTGTAATAAAACCGTGGGAACATATTCCTACGTCATTACAGGTACTACTTTATTTAGTATACTTCATGATAAATTTAGTATAATTTTAAATGAATTTGAAATATTATTTTGTCATTATTGGTTTCATTGCATGTAAAACTGTTCATTATTACAAAAGAACAATCTGGAACTAGTTTGCACTGCGCGGAAACTACAACGCTATGATCGGAGGACTTTGACCATTATAGAATCAGCTGATAACACATTAATGTGTCTGAAGTTTTTTTTTTATAGATTATGAATGTTATATGATAAATAGAATCTTACATTCGTGTCCATGTCATATTAATTTTTTAACGCTCGTTCAATACGTTCTACATGACATGGACACGAATGTAAGATTCTCTATTTATGTAGGTAATTATATACAGCTGCCCAAGAGTTGTAAAAGAAAACAAACATGTAATTATAACATGTAATGGTAACCAAATAACGTTCATTTTGATATGCTTACCACTCTATGTATATTAACAGTAATCTGCTAGGACTTATTTCTGCCCGCAATCCTACCCGATAACATGTTACCGGGTGACGTTAATTCCTGTGTCTTATTTATTTCAACCTACTGTTTGAACACAGTGTTAATGCATTTAATGGTGGCACGTCATGGTCATTCTATTTTGTATAAACTTCCTTTGATCCGACAAGGATTGTGAGCTAAAATACAGATGCACACATATTTTCACATCCATTCTTTTATCAATAAAAGGATTAAATTGTGTTTACAGAAGATATAAACTGTATCAGTAGTGGTTCGAGACACATAATGGTATGGTTGTAAAACACATACGCCTGTCCGTCGACATTTATAGATATAACTTATAACAATATAACCGAGAGCGTAAGAGCTCAACATGAGCAGCTTAAAACTGACTTTTAACTAATTTCAATGAGAATTCGGTATTTAAGCGTTATAGCTCCTTATAAAAATGTATAACAAAGTTGAAACATAAAAGTAAGGTTAATTAAATTTTGTTATTGAATCATAACGTTGCAGCGTATAACGAAAAAAATACTGAGTTGGAAAAGAAATGTCAAATATAATTCATTATTAAATTACATCGTTAAAGCTAATAATGAGAAAATATTTACTAAGTTTGAAAAGTACGGTCAATTATTATTACTAACTTATAACGGTATAGCTTGTTATGAAAAAATATAAATGGGTTTAACAATTAAGGCCAATAAGAATTCGTTATTAATTTCATACCATATAGGTCATCACGAGCAGTTCATGGACATACCAATACATAAAAGGCAGCTAGTATTGTGGTAAATCGACATTAACAGTTACAGGAATATGTTCTTCCACAAATTCGTACAATTATATTTATCAATGGTACGGTATTACTGGGGTTACGTAGGTGCTAGAGTACCTGTGTATGTAGGGGTAAGGCGTGGAGTCTAACGTACACGGTGAATTACGTGTTGCACGTGAATTACCTGGGGTAGGGGGTTGTCATATACAGGGTGTATAGGGGGTAGTGTCATTCGAGCTGTTGCAGCCAGACAGTGCGCTTGTGGTATTTACCTACGTTTCCTGGTTAGCTTGCTAATTTGGTCTTTACCGATTATGAGCGAAGAAACGACCCCCCCCCTGAACAGTTGTAGTACTGGGGCCCCTTCTCCCCCTACAGTGGGTCAGAACACGGGAGGCGTGGAGGCTTTTGAGGCCTTTTCATTGTTCAGGCAATATTTGGACAATAAACTAGATTCCTTTAGAGCGGATTTGGGAGAAGGAGAGACAAAACCTAAAAAACCTAAGTCGGACAAATCTGTGAAGTTTAAGTCCCAAGGGAATAGGATTCAATTGCAATTTAACGAGGAATTGGAGGCGGATGTGGTAAAGTTACAGAAAAGACTTGATAAACGTGACTTTGACAGCTGCGTTGAGTTGGCCGCGAACCTGAGAGTTACATTGTAAAAGAGAAACAAGTTGATACGACTTGCTGACAAGTCGCCCGCCGGCTGGCAAACTGTGAAGGAATACGTGTCCGACGATCTCGCTTCTGACAGTGAGGACGAGAAACGTATTAGACAGGCGGAACAGAGGGCATTGAGGAGTATAAAACTTAAACATGGTTCTAGTAAACGTAGTTCTTCGGCTGTTTTTAACAACAGTGGTAATACAGCTACACGTTACGCCTCTCCCCCCGCAGCCGCGGGGTCTGCGCCTTTTCGTGGAGGACCCTATAACTCCGGAGTCACTGCCCCGCGCAGCACCGCCCCTTCGGACCAGTGTTTCTCATGTGGGGGATTCGGTCATTGGAGGAGGGACTGTGGGAAATTCAGACAGGGAGGATCTCGACAGCCACAGCAGCAGACAAACGGACCGAAGTGACGAGATTCATGATAAGAATACATATACTTCTCCCTCGTTGTTTGATTTAGCCGAACTGAGCTCTCATAAACAGTTTTTTGAATATCAGGACAATCGTCCGGTTACGTCTGTTAAAGGTAGATTAAAAAGTCACGTTCAGTTTTGGAGAGATATCGGTGCTTCAGAATTTATAGTAGAAATGCTTAAGTACGGTTATGTAATACCTTTCATTTCGACCCCTCCAAAAACCTTTTCTAAAAATAACATGTCTGCAGGAAGAGAGGCTGAGTTTGTCACGCAAGCTATTGCAGATCTGGTTAATAAGTGTGTTGTACAAGTCCAATTTCTTCCTCACGTAGTCAATCCCTTAAGCGTTGCTTACACCAGTTCTGGCAAGAAAAGGTTGATTTTGGATCTCAGAAGGGTCAATCTTTTTGTTTGGAAAGAGAAGATAAAATTGGAGGATTGGAACGTTGCATTAGAATTTTTTGATCGTGATTCCTATATGTTTAAATTTGACCTTAAATCCGGGTATCACCATATAGATATTTCTTGTGGTCAACAATCCTTTCTCGGGTTTTCCTGGGATGGTAAGTTTTATTGTTTTAGTGTATTGCCTTTCGGATTATCGTCAGCTCCGTACATTTTCACGAAGATCCTTAGGGCCCTTGTTAA